CCGCGGCGCTGACGCGGCTCCTGCTCGGCGAGGGGCCGCCGGGGGACCCCGAGGCGGCCTGGCGGTGCGTCGCGGCCGCCGCGGCCGCCGCGCGCGCCCGTCGACGTCGTCCTCGCGTCCGGCGACCGGCTCGACACGGCGCTGTCCCTCGCGCTGGGCCACCTGCGCGCGCCCGCCGCCGCCGCGCTCGTCGCCGCGGGCGCGTTCGCGGACCCCGTCGCCTTCGCGGGCCTGGGCCCGCTCCACGCGCTCCTCGCGCCCTTCGACGCGCACCTGAGCCGCGGCTGCCGCCACGCGCTCGCGCGCGCGTCGCCGGCCGCGCGCGCGCTCAACGACGGCGGCGGCGCGCTGGCCTACGGCGCCGTCTTCGCCGGCGTCGCCGCGGCGCCGGCGCCCCGCGGCGGCGCGGCCGTCGACGGCGCCGCCGCGCGGCGCGCGCTCCACGGAGCGCTCGCGGCGCTCGCGCGGACCGCGGCGACGCCCGCGTCCTCCGCGTGCGGCGCGAACGGCACGTGCGGCGGCGACGGCGGGCCCTGGCCGGGGCCGGGCCGGTCGCACGACGGCGCCATGCTCGCGAAATCCGGGTCGTCGCCGCTGCACCTCGCCGCGGCCGCCGGCGCGCCGCCGCCGCTCCTCGCGGCGGTCGCCGGGCGCGACGCCGCGGCGCTCGCGCGCGCCGCCGACGGCCGCGGCCGCACGCCGGCCCACGTCGCGGCGGCCGCGGGCTTTTACGGCACGGCCGCGTGGCTCCTCGACCTCGCGCCGGACCTCTGGGACGCGGCCGACGGCGGCGGCCGCACGCCCCGGGACCTCCTGCTCGCGCACGCGGCGGACCTCGCGCCCGCCGACGCCGCGGCGCTCGGGGGCGCCGGGCGCCGGGCCCCGCCCCTCGGCGCGGCGCCGGGCGGCGGCGGCGGCGGCGACGACGGCGGCGCCGGCGACGACGGCGACGACGGCGGCTGGGCCGACGGCGCCGCCGCGGCGGACGGCGCGCTCGCGCACCTCGGCGCCGGCTGCGACGTCGACGTCGTCCTCGACGCGGACCTCACGGCGGCGGCCTTCCGCGACCGCTACGTGCGCAACGCGCGGCCCGTCCTCGTCCGCGGCGCCGCGCTGTCCTGGCCCGCGCGGTCCGCCGCGCGGCGCGACGCGCTACTGCGGCGCTTCGGCGCCGCGGCGGTCGCCGCGGCCGCCGTGCCCTACGCGGCCCTCTTCGGCGAGGCGGAGGCGACGGTCGCGCTCGACGACTTCGCCGCGGGCCTCGCGCGCGGCGGAGG